CGGTGAGCTTTTCCGGGTAGAAAGCCATTTCTACCCGAAAAAGCTCACCGGAAGCGCTGGCGCCGCCATCTTTTTTGACACAAAAGTGCTTCCGGTGAGGTCACCGGAAGCACTTTTTCGTCAAAAAAAGATGGCGGCGCCCAGTTGATGCCGGTACTGGGCCGCGGCGCCCAGCTGATGCCGGTACCGGGCCGCGGCATCAAAAAGGTTGGGGATCACTGGACTAGAAGATCTCTAGGGCCCTTCCAACTCAGTGATGCGATAATTCTGAAGCTCAACTTGGGAGGCTTTCAAAACTAGCCAGGACAACCAGGATAGTAGAAGATCTCCTGCTTTGAGCAGGGGGCTGGACTAGAAGATCTCCAGGGTCCCTTCCAACCTGGTTATTCTGAAGCTCAGCTGATAGGCGATTCAGGAAGAGAGCGGGAGGCTGCCGGTGCTTGTCCGGGCTCATAGATGAGTGGCCAATCCCACTCCAACATTTCCTTCCTAGGGACTGTCCTGACTTTGAGCTTTCCATGGGGATTTGGATTCTTTCATTGTCACATCTCCCCTATTTGGAAATCCACGCACACTCCAATCCCACGTACAGACAGAGCCTGACCTATCGGCAGGGGTGATGAAGCCTGTCTCGTCTGGCTTCTCTTCGTCGGTATCCTCGTCTTCTTCCTCCTCTGAGGATTCTTCGTCGGACGGCTCCAGTTCCCCCCAAGGGGTCCGGTCTATCTCTTCTTCTTCGGTCTTAGCCTGAGGGAGAGAGGAAGAGAGAATGGAGGGAGGGAAGGAAGGAAGGAAGGAAAGGAAGGAGCAGATGGGAAGGGAAGGACGGGGAGACAGGGTTGGATGAAAGGAGGGGGCAAGGAGCGGAAGGGAAGGGAAAGGGGGGAGGGAGGGAGGAAAACGAGGGAGAGAGGCAAGGGAGGAAGATAGGAAGGAGGGAAGGAAGGAAGGAGCAGAAGGGAAGGGAGGGAGGGGGAGACAGGGAGGGATGAATGGAGGGAAGGTGGGAGGAAGATAAAGGATATAGGCGAGGGAGGGAGGGAGCAAGATGAGAGCAAGAGAGGGAAGGAGGGAAGGAAGGAACAGAAGGGAAGGGAAAGGGGGGAGGGATGGAGGAAAATGAGGGAGAGAGGCAAGGGAGGGAGGAAGAAAGATAAGAAGGAGGGAGAGACGGAAGGAAAGGAAGGAGCAGATGGGAAGGGAAGAAGGGGGACAGGGTTAGATGGAGGGAGGAAGGGGAGGAAGGGAAGGAAGGAGCGGAAGGGAAAGGGGAGGGAGGGAAATGAAGGACAGAGGCAAGGAAGGGAGGGTGGGAGGATATGTATGTATGTATGTATGTATGTATGTATGTATGTATGTATGTATGTATGTCAGAGATATATTGATTGTTCTCTCACCGCCCTGTTTGCTGCCTGTTTTCTGCTAAAGCAGGAGGACCAAACCTTGGCAACTTTCAAGACGTGTGGACTTCAACTCCCAGAATTCCCCAGCCAGTTGAAGTCCCCAGGTCTTAAAAGTTGCCAAGGTTGGACACCTCTGTGTAAAGGAAGCCTGGACAGATATATTCTTCGCTTGTAATGTTCTGCAAACTACCAAGAAGGTGATGGGAAAGATGGATGGGGAATTCTGGGAATTGAAGTCCAACCATGATAAAACATGGCTGGCTGGGGAATCCTGGGAATTGAAGTCCAACCATCATAAAGCATGGCTGGCTGAGGAAATCTGGGAGTTGAAATTCATCCACTTTGCAACTGCCAAGGTGGAAAAATGTTGCTGTAAAGACATACCTGGAATTCAGCAGCATTGGTCCCAAAGACATCTCCATACAGAGGCTTCCCTGTCTCATCCACAGGTGGTTTACCCCAACCTCCGGCGTGATATCCAAACGAGCACCCCTATAGAAAAAATAAATCACGGTGTCAGTTCTTTGGCAGCTGCTTAAAACTAGCCATGATTTTGCGTTTTCGCATCGTCTTCTTAAGCACAATACATTGAGAAGTGTGGGAGAGGTTTAGCAGAATTTCCCATTCTGAACTAAGACATCTCCTTGTACATTACAGCAGATAACGTTTCATTGCTTTTGCTTTTTTGCTTACAAAAATCTTATAAAGATCTTACAAAGGGGCGAAAAACTAACACAAACCAATAAAAAGAAAAAGCAAGAAAACGAGAGCAAATGGGGAAAAAATAGTCAAAAGGATTGAAAGAATAAAAAGAAATCCAAAGAGAGAACTTCTAATAAACACCAAATATAAATATAAATATAAAGTGATGTCTTACTCTACGATTACAAAACAACAACAACCCCTCACTCTAATCCAATATCCAGCTTTTTTCTCCTCACAGAAACCACAAACTGTTAAGTGCAATTCCCTCCATTTTATACAAAAAGCCTGTAACAGATTTCCACTCAACTATAGATAGGGGTCCTTGGTGCTCTCTGAGCTTGTTTTCTTGCAGACATTTTATTACCCAACCAGGTAACATCATGAATGCTGTGTGATACATCAATGATATTACCTAGTTTAGGTAAGAAAACATCTTCAAGAAAACAACCAAGCTCAGAGAGCATCAAGGACATGTACATATTCTTCCTTCTCTAATCAATTTTTTTTTTTACAGGATCCAACCTGGGTTGGTCACCGGGACCGGAAGTGTCGCCTTCCGAGCTTTCGGACTCGTACTGGAGCCCATCCTCAGGGAACTTCTTTCTATCCGTGTGTGTTCTGTCCTGGGCTTCCCCAAAAAGCACTAAGCAAACTCTGTGTTCCGGCAAAACCTCTTTTATTAAACGTATTTATTGCATTCAGCCAACAGCCTGGCAAACAGTCTTGCAAAGGTATAATTATTAGCTCAGTCCTTATCTATCTTGGAAAGCTTCCCGGCAAATATTTCCAAACGCATTGCTGACAAGGAAGGGCTTAGCACAGAGTCTCTAGGATGCACAGACAGATCTTCACAATGATGGAATGAACTGTTTCCTGCAAAAGGCCCCCTCCCCTTTTGCTCCTCTTTTAATCCTTAAGGGTGGGGCCATTCATCGTCCACCTGTGCCCTTACTCCCACTTTAATTGTTCCTTCTGTCAGGGGTCCAGTAGCTACCCCCCATTTAAATCACGAGTCTCTAGCCGGATTTTCAAAGCTTAAAGAAGATTTATTAGGAGTAAACATGCTGGTGCTACCTGAGTGTAGCTGACTCTGAGACACATCATTCATTGTCACCCTTGACCCTGGTTTCCCCCCGCCCCCTGGGTGTATCATAATTCATAGTCTCCAATGAGACACATCCATAGCCAAGAGTCAAATCATGCTCTCCAGTTAGAATTTTGCCCACATGCGGTCACCTGGTTAACTATCTTTGAAAACATTTGTGGAATGCAAGCTGCCACACTGCTCCCCCCTCCCTTTCTGTTGTCAACTCTAAAAGACCGTAGACATGTTTTATGAGTTGACACCTTCCTTTTGGTAGCTCTGCACATGTGCCCGGTTTGAACTGGTTCCAGAAGCTCCCCCGCCTCACTGCTGCCCGAGCCTGAAGACAGCTGATGACTGCCAGTCTGCCCTGGCCCCATCTCTGCCTCTGACGCAGAGCCCTCCTCAGAGCCGGGGGGTTGGACTAGGTGACCTATAAGGTCCCTTCCAACTCTGATTATCTGTTATCTGAGCCTTCCTCAGCCTCCAGGACTGGCCCAGGTTCCTCCCCTACCTCCTCGCTGTCCGACTCTGCTGCCAGCTCTGCCAGCCGCCGGCGGGCCGCAACAGTGGGCGCCGTTGTGTGTGTGATACGGGCGCTATAAACATCACACACAGAACAGCACACGCTCTCTGCTAGAGAGTTCTCTGAAGATGGCTGCAGCCCGAGACTGAAAGCTGGGAAGACAAAACCTCTGGTCCTGCAACGCTATCCCGGGACACGTAGATTTGCCTTTTATTCGTGGTTCTTATTTTAATTTTTCTTTCTGACAATCTTCCTCCGATTCAGCAAAGCAGGTGGGACTGACCGCTGACTGTTGAGGTAACAGGTTCCCAAAACCTTTCTTGGTTTTGCAGAATGCGAGGCAGGCTGTGACCCTCGACAGTTGGAAGAAGTAACTCCGAGCACGTTAGAAGGCTGACTCACCTCTGGGATGGGAGAATTCAAACCCGGGATTTTCAGGTTGGGGTAGGAAGGCGGTGGGCCATAGCGCTGCATGGCGATCAGCCACGGAGGGGGAACTTTGTGGGCGTTCTTGGAGACACGAGAAAAAAAGGAAGAAGACACTGTTAGCGACAGGATTCACCTCCTTGCCTGACTTCTGTGCAACCATCCCAATCCTAAATATCTATGGAGACTCTCAGTCATTCAGGTCGTGCTGGTCCCAACTCGACCTCCTTGTTTTTTCTTTGAAGACGTTTCGCTTCTCATCCAAGAAGCTTCTTCAGCTCTGACTGGATGGTGGGGAAGGGAAGGATTTGTATTCCTTGCAGAGCACTGGTCATTTGCATTCTTTTAGAGAGCTGTTGAGGCCACTTGGCCCTCTCTCAACAGAGGGGGAGGGATACGACCTCATCTATCTCCAGTTTACAACACAGTCCTTTCAGCAGTTCCAAGAAGGCTCCACACCCATTTGCACCACTCAGGTGACCCTGAGGACTCAGATCAACCTCCAAGTGGCCTCGACGGCCCTCTAAAAAGGATGCAAATGACCAGCTGCCTGCAAGGAATATAAATCCTTCCATTCTCCACCATCCAGTCAGAGCTGAAGAAGCTTCTTGGAGAAGGAAAACGTCTTCAAAAAAAGAGTAGAGTAGAATTCAGCAGAGTAGATATAGTGTAGAATAGTTTTATATTTCTTGCAGACCACTGGTCATTTGCATCTTTTTTAGAGAGCTGTTGAGGCCACCTGGAGGTTTGTCTCCCAACAACTTACCGGCCCAACGGGCATCCCCAGCGCGCTGCGCAGCTCGTCCGAAAGATCTCCCGGCTTCTTCTCCTTCAGACGCGTCTCGAACTCTTTGCCCTGGAGGAGGAAGAGGAGGAAAGGGGAAGGACTTGGCAAAGGGAGTGGCCCCGTTAGCTTCGCTCCCATCCAGTTGGGGAGAAGGACGGCTTTGTTACCTCGTAGTACAAATCGCCGTGAATGGTCAGCTTTGGCTTCGTCTGCCATTTGAAGAAGGCATCGTGCAGTTTCTGGTAATCGATGTCGATTTTGCCCATCTTCGGACGGACTTTCTCCCGCATTTTGGATTTCATGGTTTTTTGTTCCTCCTGAAGAGAAGAAGAGGAGGAAAGTCAGCAAAGGGGAAAGGATCAGGCGGGCCGAATCGGGGCCACAGGATCAGTTCCAGTTCAACTGATTGATTGTTCATGCTATGCGCAAGGATCTAATCGACTACAGGTAGTCCTTGGACTTACGACTACAATCGAGCCCAAAATTTATGTTGTTTAGCGAGGTGTTTCACTGAGTTTGAGCCCCGTTTTGTTACCATTCTTGCTGCAGTTGTTACGTGAATCACTGCAGTTTGTTAAGTGAGTTTTGCCTCGTTTTATGAACTTTCTTGCCACCATTAAGTGAATCAACTGCAATTGATAAGTTAGTAACTCAGTTGTTAAGTGAATCTGGCTTCCCCATTGACTTGGCTTACCAGAAGGTCGCAAAACAGTAATTTTACATGATCTTGGGACACAGCAACAGTCATAAGTATGAATAGAATTCTTTATTGGCCAAGTATGATTGGACACACAAGGAATTTGTCTTGGTGCAAATGCTCTCAGTGTACATAAAAGTAAAGATACATTCAGTTGCCAAGCACCTGAATTCTGATCACATCCTCTGCGAAGGTTGTAACTGTAAAAAAATGGTCATAATTCACTTTTTTCAGCGCCGCTGTAACTCTGAACAGTCACTAAACGAACTGTTGTAAGTTGAGGACGATCTGTAACCATCAGCAGCAAATTGGTGTCAGATAAAAGAGTTAACAGACTTCAAGAGAGGATGGATTTGGACTGTTTGTGGGAACGTAATGATTCTAGGCCGGTTCCTCTCTTGACCTCACCTCTCTCCGCCTGTCCTTCAACAAAATCACATTTTTATTATTAAATAATTATGTCTGTGGAGATTCTCAGTCATCCAGGCCAGGGTTGTCCCAAAGGTGTCTTTTTAGGAGGCAACTGGACTTTCTTTGTTCTTCCTTGAAGATGTTTCGCTTCTCGTCTCAGAAGCTTCTTCGGTTGATGAGATGAGAACGGAAGAAGCCTCTTGGATGAGAAGCGAAACTTCTTCAAGGAAAAACCAAAAGAAAGTCCAGTTGCCTTTTGACAAAACACTTTTAGGATATTGGATAATGACATTAAATCATATTGATATGGGTGGAGGAATAACTGAATTGGAGGAACATGTTATTCTCTATTATCTCCTCTATACAGGCTTTCACCAAGAATTATTATTTCCATTCTTTCCTAAATCGCCTGGTTGTTCTGATTTGTTTAATCTCAGGAAGTTATTATCGGCTCTCTCTGATCTTATTTCCTTGATTGACAGCCAAGTACTGTTGTATAATCTGTAAACTACGCCCTAGTGTTATCTCTAAACCTTTTGCAGATATTTTAGCATACCTGTATTTTGACTTTCATCTTAATTAATTGTGGCTCTTGCGTTTTAATCGCTGGTTTATGATTGAATAAAGATTTGATTTGAAGGTTTTCCAGTGCTGCCGTTAACTCTGAGTGGTCATTAAACAAATGATTGGGGGTAACTCTAAATTGTCATTGGTTTGTATACAGGTAAGTCCACAAGTTACAACAGTTCATTTAGGGACAGTTCCAAGTTAGAACGGCACTGACAAAAGGGACTTATGATGGGTTTTCACACTTACGACCGTTGCAGCATCCCCAGATTCAGATGCTTGGCAACTGGCACATATTTATGACGGTTGTGGCCTTCTGGCAAGCAAAGTCAATGGGGAAGCCAGATTCACTTAACAACTGTGTGACTAACTTAACAACTGCAATGATTCACTTCACAAATGTGGCAAGAAGAGTCGTAAAATGGGGCAAAACTCACTTAGCAAATCTTTCACTTAGCAACATAAGTTTTGGGTTCCATTGTGGTCATAGGTTGAGGGCTAAATGTACTACCAATCCTGTGGGTACTTTTATTTGCTTACTAGCTCGATACCCGGGCTTAGCTACAAAACTATGTGGTCGGGCTTAGTTTTGGGGGAGGAAAATAAGGAAAAAAACATTCTGCCTCTGCCTACCAGCATTCATTGGTATTCATCTGGCTAGCATCCTGTCAGTGTGTGAGAGAGTTGAGGGCTCTTTGGAAACTGAAAGAGTATTTGCTGTGTGAGCAAGGAGACAGCAAGGAGCCTGGGCGTGGCTTAGCTCAACTGTTCTGTACTACAGCTGGTTGCTGCTGTGAAACCAAAACTGAAACTGCATCTCCTCTCCTCTGCTTGTGTTTTGCATTTGGAAGAGATTTCTGTTCAGGTGGGGAGGGGGAGTAGAACTCCTTAGCATCAGAGCGTGTTAATAATAATAATAATAATAATATAGGAAATACTCTAAATGTTCTGATGGTCATTTCGAAAAATCCTTTCTTAGTGAGCACCTAGAAGCCAAGAGGAACCTACACGCCAGTTTTCAAGTTTGTAGGCTGTACGGTTCTGGAGATTTTGTGATGATGTGTGAGTGGTATTTCGCTTTTATATATAGAGAGAGAGACTTAATTTAATTTGCTAATCCAATTTTAGCATGACCACTCTGAATTCCGACCCTCTGAGCTTCCCTTTCATGCAAATTTCCAAGACTGCGGTCTTGGAACAGCTCTTTGTGTATATGAGTGTGTATGTATGTGAGTGTGTGAGTGTGTGAACAACAAAGCTTTCTTCCGCACCTTTTCCTGCAGGGCTTCCCTCATCTCTTGGATCCCCGTGCGCTTAATGAATTCCGGCAGGTCAAACGGCGGCTTCTCAATGCCTCTCTTCCCCTGGAGATATTTGCGCTTGAAACACCAGTGGCGGGGCACAGGGACAGAGTTGCGGGTGGCCTTCAAGTGGACTAGCAGCTTGGGATCCTGTGCCGTCACATCATGCATCTCCACCACATCGGGGCGGGCCACCAGCTACAGGGAACCAAAAAGCCAAAAATAAATTAAACAAAGTCCTGGGTTTTTCAACTTTCTTTCTTTCTTTCTTTCTTTCTTTCTTTCTTTCTTTC